CCCCCCCAACGGGCAGCAGCAGCTGGCTCCACGTCGAAACGGTCGCTTTGAAATTGCTCGGGCCTGTGCGAAACCCGCCACCCCAAAAACCTGCAGTGTCTTGTGTCTGGACCTCTAGGCCCTGTCCGGTGGGGTGAAACAACATTGAAAAATCAACCCACTATTTTTCTAGGGGCGGCCAGGACCCGATAAACGTCCTGGGCTGCCCCAATTTTTTTTATGATTTTTGCCCCAGATGCCTCAATCCAGACATATTGTCCAGACACCGGACACCAGACACCGGACACCGGACTGTCTGGAACCCGGTCCGGACGTCCGGGCGGTTACCATGAGAAAAACCCACCTATTTCATTTTTTTTTGGTTATTTTCTTTCGTTTACGTTTTTGATTTTTTTTAAATATAGAGAAACTTCAAAAAATAAAATAACAAATGTAAGGTTGTAGATCTCAAAAGGATCTACAACCCTATATTTTTTATTTTTATTTTTGCTTTTTTTTTCCGGGGGAAAAAAATCCTCCCGCGCCCGCTCAAACCCCGCTCAAGCGCTTTTGAGCACGGGATTGAGCGGCGCTGAAAAACACGAGCGCCGGGCCCGCGCTCAATCAGCGCGCGGTTTCACAGCTTGATTTCACTTGATGTCATATGCAAGCATTTGCTTTCGCTTGATCAAATGACAGGATAATCTATGGATGATGCATGCTATGGATTGTACGCATGCAGTTGGTTTTACATGGCGCTTTCACTTGAGTGTGAGACTTGGTTCCTGTTAGGCTTGGTCGTCTGCTGCAAGTCAGCAACGTGAATAGACAACGGCAATACGAGCTATACTCAATCGTCAATCATCATTATCATCAGACAGAGAGAGAGAGAGAGAGAGAGAGAGAGAGAGAGAGAGAGAGAGAGAGAGAGAGAGAGAGAGAGAGAGAGAGAGAGAGAGAAAAGAGAGACCCAATGGGAACACTACCTGGCCTTGGGAACACTACCCAGGGGGGAGAAGATTCAATGAAGGGACTCGGGAGTGGAAAACAGCAACAGAGACCCAATGGGAACACTACCCATGGACCTAGCACTGACTGGCAGTGCTAGGTGCATGGGTAGTGTTCCCACTGGGTCTAAGCTACTGTGTTCCACTCCGTTCATTGAATCTTAATTGCTGTGGGTGTTGCTGCTCTGTTGTTGCTGTTCTTTGAATCCTACTGCTGTTGATTGTATCTTGCTGCTGTTAATTGAACTGTTCGAGGATCCATGAGGTGGCAGAAGTAGTTGTTGTTGTTGCCGTTGTTGCATCTTGATTGAACGCCAAGTCTATTGGTTAGAAGTGCAAAAGAAGTAAAAAAAAGGGCATAAGAACCAGCATCTGGAAGCCTGGAAAAGAATGAGAAAGGATGGCAAAAATCAGAAAGAGCCTCAGGCAAAGGCAAAGTTGGCAAACATAGTAAGAACGTGCTCAATCAAGATACAGAGAAAAGGACGCCCCCTGCTGCTTTTGTTTCACACTTAGTAAGTTAGTACTATCAGCGTTGCTGCACGTAGTACTATCAGGGTTGCTTCAGTTTCGCACAGTCGACCAGACAGTGGGCCGCCCAGTGGATCAGAGTGGATCAGAAAGCGGACTGGACAGTGAACCACACCCTGGATCAGACAGTTCAGTAGAGCCATGACTGGTCCACACAGTGTGGTCTGCAATCAGAAGGGATGGTGTCATGCAGTCCACACTGTGGACGGCACAGTCAACCAGACAGTGGGCCGTCATACTGTGGTATGCGGTGCACAGTCCATATCAGGAATGCTCAGGAATGCTCAGGAATGCTCAGGAATGCTTGCTTACTCATTGGTCGGTTTTGGCTCTGCCAGTCTTAATCCTGCTTTCCTCTATCGCTCTCGGATGCGTAACTGTGTACCCGGTTGCTTGTTTCGTTGCCAAGTTGCTTGAAGGTTCCTTGGCTGCATTGGATGTCTCTTGATACTGTGTGCAAGGCATGGTGTGTGTTCTGTGTGGTTCTTCTTTTCTTCCGGTTTGGGACTGGTTCTGGTTTCTAGAGTTCTGGTTTATGCAGTCCACTTCCAGCCTCCGGAAGTTGACGATCATGCAGTGAGCTTCCGGCCTCCGGTTCATGCACTGAGCAACAGGACTGGACTGCATGAACTGGAATTTCGTGCCATGTATGGACTGCATGAACCAGAAGCTCACTCTCACTTGGTTGTGCCACGTGTGGACCGCATGATCCACTTCTTTTTTTTTTCCCTTCAGTCCAAAGCAGCAGCTCTCGATTGTTTTCAGCTGCAACTTTGAAAGCGGTTCTCGGCTTGTTCTGTGTTGAAGCGCATGATTCATTGCTGCAGAACTTCGGGATCGTGTCAGCTCTTTGCAACAGTAACAGCTGCAGCTCTGATGTTCTTGTTGTGTCCCTTGTTTCGGCCCGGCATGTTTTATTCCCCGTTCCGGTTTTGCTACTTCTTTTTTTTCTACTTCTTCGTTTTCTTCTTCTTCTTCTTCTAAGACCTTCTTCTTCTTCTCCTCCTCCTCCTCCTCCTCCTCCTCGTACCAGTCATGGCGTCATCATGCCAGCCGAGCACCGCAGCGGCCAAGGGCAAGGGGAAAGTGAATGTGATGCGCACACCACCTGAATTTGTGCCGCAACCGGATTCTCGTCGGCGCACTCTGCAGCGGGAGAGAACAGTATTTCGGTGGATTAAGCAGGGGCAAGCGGCAGAGCCGAAAGGCTACGGGCAGTATTGGGTTCGTTGCAGGTTGTGCAAGACAGTCTTCACAGTCTCAGCAACTCGAGTGGTTGAGCACTTCCTTAAGAAGGGGAAGCTGTGCATAGCCAGGACAGGCGAGGTGCTGCACTTGCTTGCGCTAGACGGGGTGAAGATCGATGGGAAAGCGGTGAAGAGGATGCTACATGCCTACAGGGCGGAAAAGGGCATAGCCGAGGATACGGGGATGACGCCCCGGGGGGTGGTGGAGAAAGCAGTCCTGGATGAGATGGAGGCGCTTATTCGTCCGCCTCCGGTACCGAGGAGAGAGGACTCGGCAGTGGTGTGTGATGCAGCAGCCCACACATCCATGAAAGGAAACAAGAAGGCGATAGAGGGTGATCCAGTGGGGGCTGTTGCAGGTCCTTCGTGTGAGGCTTCCACGACTGTGGCGAAGTCGGGGAAGAAAACACAAACCTCGATCTGCAAATGGGCTGAGAACACAGCGCAGAAGAGACTGGACCTACAATGGGGGAGAGCTCTTTGTCGTTCCGGGGTCCCCTTCAACTTTGTGCGACAAGACGAGACCAAAGCGCTCCACGAATTGTACATGGAGTTGGGCGCACAAAAGGCAAAGACCCAAATGACTTCCTTCAAGACTATGCGGACCACAGTACTAGACGCGTTGTATGACGAAGTGAAGCTGACAGTGCAACCCATCATGGATAAGATGGATATCTCGGGTTGCACGCTGATCACTGATGGTTGCACGGATAGGAAGTTCAGGCCTGTCTTGAACTCCATTGCTGCGGGGGATGGAGGGGCGGTCCTGGTGAAGGTGGTGGACATATCGAGCCGAAAGAAAAATGCCACGGCCCTTGCGAAGCTCTGGAGGAGGTGATCAGGAAGATTGGAGTGCATAAAGTGAATGCCATCTGCACCGACAATGCCGGTGTGAACAAGAAGGCTGCAAAAATTCTGCGTCGTCGGAAGGATTAGGACATCGCAAAGATACCATGGCTTATGTCTATGTGCAGTGCACACCCTGAGCCTCCTCCTCAAGGACATATCAAACCTCGAGTGGGTGCTGCTGATCAGGAAGCAGGCCAAAACGATGGTGAAGTTCATAAAGAACCACCATCGCACGGTTAGACTGTACTCCAAATCATCTATGGATGACAGTAAGACCCTCATTCTCCCCACGGAAGTCCGGTTCGCCTTCGTCTACCAAATGCTGTTGAGACTCAGTGACAGGCAATGGGTTCTCGAGGACATGATGAAGACTGAGTGGCTGGACATTCATTGGAGCGCCAAGGAGTCAAGGAAGAAGGCGGATGACATCTCCAAAGGGTGAGATCGGAGGAGTGGTGGAGAGGGGTGCACAAGGTGGTGAATGTGATGCAGCATGTGCATGAGGTGTTGAGGAGGATGGACATGGATGGGACATCACCTTCCCATTTGTGGATGTTTGATGGGATATCACGGCAGCAGTTGGAAGAAATTTTTGGGCTTGTGGACGACCACTGCAGGATGATGCGGCAGCCTGCACATGCAGCACACATCCTCCTCTACCCAACAGGGGAGAACCCAAGTGGCTGCTTGAGACCAAGTCCGCCCTATTAAACAACACGATCGAGTTCTTCAAGTCGCAGCTGGGTGGAAACGAATAGGGAGAACTGCAATCCCACCTTGATGCATTGCAGTCTCTATGGACATTCCACTGTGAGGTGACAAACGACCAGGCAAAGAACGAGCCAATGTGGGATACGTTCGGACGCGGAGACAGTTCCCTCACCAAGAAAGACGGCCTCACAATGGTGGGCATCGTATGGGGGCAACCATCCCGACTTGCAGAAGATTGCCACAAGGGTGACTGCGATGTGGAGCACCGCGACACCCGCTGAGAGAAATTGGTCCTCACTTGACTTGATTCATACAAAGAGGAGGAACAACCTCTCAAGCGAGAGTGTGGTGAAGTTGGTCTACATACATTGGAATATGCAACTCAAATCGATGCGCCAGGGTGTGAAGTGCGGATTCTTCGACATGTGGGGCACATTCTTCGACGATCCAAAGGATCCCAACCCCCAAGACCCAGCAGTCTTGCCGGGGCCATTGGACGACACAGCGGAGGAGGCGGCACGCCTTATGAGACTGAGGAAAGCGCTGAGAGGGAGGATATTGAAAGGTGACGAATACGATGACACATCCAACTCCGAGGATATTGAGGATCTTATTTGGAACGGGAAAGGAGGTACTGCACAAGCGAGGAGTCAACCAGCGCGACTAGCAAAAGGAAAGGCTCAGATCGATTTGGACGCCCAGGAGGAGGAAGAGGAAGAGAACGAGGACGAGGACGAGGACCCGAACTTCGAGTTATGCCCACTCGGTGACGGAAGCGAATCTGATCAGGATCGGGATGACAGCCCATCATTGATCGATCCTCGTTTCTTGAGAAAAGCCCAACAGGGGTGCACAGAGCAGTCCACTCAGAACATTGTTGAAAGGGCCGCAGCGAGGGCCCTTGCTGAGAGGGATCGTGAAATTGTGCAGCAGAGGGTTGAGCAGGACAATGCAAGGCGTGTGGCAGTCCCCCCTCTTTCAAGAGCAAGCAGGGCACAAGCTGTGCAGTCAACAACCAGTCCTGCTGCAGCAGACTCCACGGCAAGACCAGAAGCGGGCGGTGCGACAGAGGGAGTATTAGCATTCACGGAGTGCCAACATCAGCAGGAGCGGCGGCACCAGAACGAGAAACAGCAGGATATGCAGCAGCAGGACGAGCAGCAGCTGCAGCAGTGCAGCGCCGAGTTGCATCAACAAGAGTATGTGCAGCAGCAGCAGCAACAAAAGTGGGAGGATATGCAACACAAGGAGGATGCCCGGCAGCAGCTGGAGGATGCGCAACAGCGTCAGCAACAACAGAAGCAGCATGAGCAGCAACATGAGGAGCGACATAAATAGCGGAAACCACATCAGCAACAGGAACAATACCACCTTCATGAGGAGCATCAGGAGGATGCGCAACATCAGCTCTACGATGCGCGACAGCATGAGCTACAACAGAAGCAGCATGAGCAACAGCATGAGGAGCAACATGAACAGCCGAAACCACAACAGCAGCAGGAACAATGTCACCAGCAGCAGCAGCATCCATGTCAGCTGCAGGATCAGATCCAGTGTCCCCCTCCCTTCCCTAACCTGCAGGGCGACCTCGTGCACGACAATTTGGAGGTAAGTCGGGCAGGCAGAAAGAGAAAGCATGCAGCTCGTCCGGTTGCTGCACCAGCAGTCAAACGGGAGCGGGGTCGACCACACAAAGGAGAGGTAAAACCTAAGACGCCCTGTGCAACCGGGGTCGTGAATGCGCGCATTCACACAAAGGAGAGGTAAAACCTAAGACGCCCTGTGCAACCGGTTGAACGTCGTGAATGCGCGCGTTCATACCCCCCGGGGCTGCGTTCATTCGCGTTCAAATGCGCTACGTGCGCCCGCGCGAATAAATTGAACGCGGTCCCGCGGGCGCGCACGCGCATCTGGGGCTACGGGGTGGTGGTCCGCATTCGACGAACCCCCAAAGTGCCAAAACCCCCCCCCCGGCCACCGACCGAGGCCCCGC